GTTCCCTCCTTCATAAATGCGGAGGAACAGAGGACTATTTTTGCAGATCTTGGGGGTGCGAAACTACAGGCAATACCTACTGGAGTCCATCCTCTAGTTGGGACTTTATTACCGTGACTCACAACTACTCGCTAGGACACATCAATACCTATGCCGGTGCACCAGAATGTGGTGATTGGTGCCACCCATTAAAGATACAGTTTACAGACCCGGGAAAACGGGCTACGGGATGGGAGACTGGATTCACCTGGGGGCTAAGACTTTATCAGGAGGGGCGAGATACAGGCGTCATATTTACCATTAAGCTCATAAAGCAGCCTGCCAATTACAGCCACCCTTTAGCCGTAGGCCCAGATCCTATCCTCAATAAGCATGCTAGACACCCTGATACCCCTTCTTTTACACCAGACCCCTTTACAGCGTTTACCCCATCCCCTCTGGCCACCAAGGACATGATCTAGTGAATAACTACCCTTATTCAAAAAAACCTATGTGGTTCTTAATGCTTCCCAGCCCAGCTTGGTCGATTCAATGTTGGCTTTGCTATCATTCAGCCCCCCCCCCTTTTTATAAAGACATCGCAGTTGATAGAGAATATACAACAACTGACGATCCAGGCAACTGCCGATGGCAACAACAACCTACTTCCAAACTCACCCTCTCACAAGTCACCAGTAATGGGCGTTACGCGATTACCCACGGCGCCTCCGTTCCCTCAGCCTACGCACCCCTTACCTCGGGATATCTCCTCCCTAATAATGATGCATGGTGGGCCTGTATTGATGGTCTCACCCCCTGCATTTCCCTAGAACACAACTCCCTCCAGTCTCCCCCCTCTTTTACATTCTAGTGCAAGTCATTCCCTGCCTGACTTATTATTCCTCGGACCAATTTGCTGTCCGATGGGAGGAACATTGTCCACCAGCCACCCCCCACCTCCACCCGGGCCAAAAGAGAGGTGATAACCGCTGTCACCCTGGCAGTCTTGCTCAGGCTGGGCGCTGCCGGAGTAGGTACAGGCATTGCTTCCCTCATCCTCTCTAATCAACATTATTCTGAACTCCCGCAGCTCCATCGATGAAGATATAGCTCAGCTTGAATGCAAAATCTCCGCCCTTGAATCCTCCTTAACTTCCCTATCTGAGGTAGCTCTTCAAAATCGCAGAGGCCTAGACCTTCTCTTCCTTCAACAGGGAGGCCTCTGTGCAGCCCTAAAGGAGGAATGTTGCTTCTATACTGACCACACGGGAGTAGCTAGAGATAGTATGGCAAAGGTCAGGGGAGGGTTAGAAAAACGCAAAAAAAAAAAAGGGAACAGGAGCTCTCCTGGTTCCAAAACTGGTTTTTAGCCTCCCCATGACTCACCACCCTTCTTCCTTCCATCCTGGACCCTTTTGTCGGGCTCCTCCTGGTGGTCGCCTTCCGCCCGGGACACTCTCTCGCCTAACCAACTTTATCAGGACGCACGCAGATGGCTACATTACCGTCCAAGCAGATTCAAGTCCATTGCCATCGCCTTGACCTACAGGACCAAGGCTTAGATGAGCCCCTCCCATCACAGACCCTTCTGCTCGGGGGAGGACGCACCTGTGTACGGGACTCACGGGCATGATAAAAAATAAGGGTGCAGGAGAGACTGCAGGGAGAAGGATTTTCAGTTTTCACACCCGAGACCCCTGAAGGGCACACCCAGTAGCATAACAGTTGGCATGATCCTTCATAACCCCTCGCTTCCCGCAAACCTCCGTTCTCTCGAAAAACATGCCGGCTTCAGGGGACTCCCTCCCTCGTGGGGACACCTGCGAGGGGAATTGGGAAGGCTCCCGCGAAGCCTACAGAGAGACTGGGTCTCTGCCCTCCCCTTAAGAGATGATAACATTTGAGCCTTCCAGAACTGGCCCTAGGACTTGGTCACTGCCTATAGAGTTTGAAAGAACGGTGGAGATGCCAGGGGCTGGATCATTCTGCCCCCTCAGTTGTCCACAAGGAACTTGACCTTGCGGCCATGGTTGCCTCAGAGAACCAGCGTTTCATAAGAACTGTCAGTTCTTCAGTAAATATCTAGTTAGGACATCTCGTGATGAGGTAGCTTAGCAACCAAGCAAGGGACCCTACTACTAACCTCCTCATCCTGCACAGACATCCTGCAGTTGCACAAGCCTGAGCTAGTTAGAATAACGATTTCCTGCCTTCCCCCACCCTTCAAGAACTATATAAGCCCTCGTGAAAAAATAAAATTTTGCAGCTTGATCAGAACCCTGTCTTGCTGTCTTCCTTTGTGTCTCCTGTCCTTTCTATTCCATCCTTCAGGTGGTCGGGAGCCCTGCTGGCAGGGGCATATAACCCCCTTCATACCACTTCTGTTTTATCCTCTTTCCCTTGAGGCCCACCTCTAATGTCACCTTGCTAGTTTCCTGGCTTCTCTGGGTATTCTAACTTAAACAAACATCTAAAGATTCGAATCTAACATCCACATGAGACAAAGCATATTTGTCTTTCTGGGTCTGGGTTACCTCATCAGGGATGACTATTTCTAGCTTCAACCACTTACTGGTGAATTTCATAATTGCATTTTTTCTTTACAACTAAGTAATATATTATTGTAAAAATGTACCACTACTTTGTTATCCATTCATCAGCTGATGGGCATCTAGGCTGTTTCTATTTCCTGGCTATTGTGATTAAAGCAACAATGAAGATACATGAACTAGTGTCTCTGTAGCACATGGTAGGGTTCTCTGAGCATATGCCTGACAGTGGTGTATCTGGACCACATGATAGATCTATTTCTAGTCCTTTGAGGAAACTCCACGCTGATTTCCATAGTGGTTGTACCAGTTTACTCTCCCTTCCCCACATGCACGCCAACATTTGTTGCCCTTTTTTTCTTTTTAATCTTAGCCATTCTGGGTGGAGTAAGATGAAATCACAAAGCAGTTTTAATTTACATTTTCCTGATGGCTAAGGATGTCGAACATTTAAAAAATATTTATCTGCCACTTGTACTTCTTCTTTTGAAAACTCTGTTTAGTTCTATGCCCTGATTTTTAATTGTTATTTCTTGGTATTTAGATTTTTAGGTTTTTGATTATTTTCGATACTAATCTTCTTTCAGATGTATAGCCAGTAAACAGGTTTTTTTCCCATGCTGTAGGCTGCATCTTTACACATAGAAAAGATCCACATGGTTGTTGGAAGTGATTGACTTGCCACTGCTTGGGGATAGAGTGTCCTAATGAAAGCTTGGACTCTGAGGGGGGCAGCTGACAAACTTGTGAAATACAAAGCAATTTAGTGTGGCTGGAACAAGCCCAAGAGGAAGGGGGTATGGAATGAAAGTGTGCCGGTAATGGGGGCTAGGTTATGTGGAGTTTCAAAGGCCACTTTAAATGCTCTAGATTTTACTTTGAGTGAGATAGGGAGTTGGGAGTGTGTCCTGAACCATGAAGGGAATAGCTGATCCCATATTTAATGGAATCTCCTGTCTGCCAAGTGGAAATGACCATGTGGCAGAAAGAGGAGACCCTTTAAGAGGCTGCTTAGACAAGTCAGTGGTAGCTCAAGAGTGAGACCACTGAAGCATGAGAAGTCATCAAATCCTTGGTACAGTTTTAAAGAAGTTCTAGCAAAATTAATTGATGAATTATTGTCACAAGTAATTACAATGTATGCTGTTGGTAGAATTTAGTGTTTAGCAAAGAAAGAGAGATGAATCCCAAGCTTACTGGAGCTTACTTTCTAGTTAGAGGGACAGCAAACTGTATGTATGTATGTATGTATGTCTGATACTTCTCATAGTTAGGGCCTGAAGAAATGGATCAGCAGTTTAGAATACTTGTTGCTCTTGGAGAAGACCCAGCTTTGCTTCCTACATGGTAGCTAACTATCATCTGTAACTCTAGTTCCAGGGGACCTCACACCCTCTTCGGACCTCCATGGACATTAGGCACATACACAGTGCATGTACACACAAATAGGCAAAGCATTCACACACATATTTTTTTTAATCTAAATACTTCCCATAGTTCCTTGAAAAGGAATAAAACATCGAGCTGGATAGAGGGATAAAGAAGGGCCAGACCACTGGCAACTAAACATTTTTTTTCTTGTGTCCCAGGCTGCCCTCACACTTGCTTTGTGTAGCTGAAGATGACTGAACTTCTGATCCTCATCTCCACCTCCTGAGTGATGGTGGTGTCCCAGTCTGACATCACCACACCTGGCGGCTAATTTGGTGCTGGAGATTGAGCTCAGCATGCCATGTGCCATAGATAGGCAAAAGTTCTACCACATCCCAGCTCATTTTGCCTTTGTAGAAACTGTTCTTTCTGAACACTGAAGATTAAAGGTTAAGGAACAAACCCTTCGGATTTATGAAGAAACGGCAGCTCGCAGAGAGGACAAGCAAGGGTAGGAATTCTGAGGTAGCAGAGACCTGTTGTGTTCATACACTGTAGGGAGCTTAAAGGAAACAGTAGGACTGTAGGTCAGAGCAGAGCGGTTGGTGGAGTAACATGGGAGGCCTGGAGGCAGAGAAGGTAAAAATTTGTGACCAAAGAACAGAGGGGAGACTGATTGTTGAGACTGAGAAGCAGGGAGGAAAGACAGGGTGAGGGGAAGAGGGTGCAGGAGGCACTGAGGTAGAGAGGGAAGAACTGGAAGATAGGAACGGTGGGGGGTGGAATCCACAGGGAAAAGGCAAGGACTGTGGCAAGGGGAAAACGGGAGAAAACAGGAGCACAGAGAGGAGATGGAGGGGCCGGAGGAGAAAGCTGGGCGGGCAGGGAGGATTGCCAAGTCAGCCAGCCTCTCCAGACTCTGGCGTCCGGCTATGCTTTAGCGGTTACTGAGGACGCCTAACCTGCCAGGAGAGGCGTCCTGAAAGAAACATGAGCTTCTCCTGAAAGCGAAGCCCAGCCCTGGGGACATATTATAGGTTTTCAGGGATGGAAAAATAGTAGGGTGCCTGGAACCCTTCCTTACACAGAGTGCTGGACAGGATGGCAGTCAGGGCTCCCTGGTTCGGATGCTTGCTTCTCGTTTCCCTCTGGGGAATGTCAGCTCCAGGTAAGAGGGGGTCTGGGGTCAAGGGAGACCTTCAGAGCCCAGCCTAACTCCCATGCCTTCCTGTTTCACAGCCTTGCTTCTCAGGCGCCTGAGAGAACACATTCAGAGATTTCAGGAGAGCTCGAGCCTGAATCCGGGCTTTGGTCTAGGCCAGGGTCTTGTGCCTGTCCCCAAACAAGGGTGGTTAGAGCAACCACTGGATCCCTTCAACACCTCTGACAGACGAACCTTCCTGCAGGTAAGGCTAGTAGAGGAGGCCACTGTCCACTGGACTGTCTTGTCAGTCAACTTACTCTATACCTAGTCTGTGTTCCCCCACTTCCCCGTCCTCTGATTTCTGCCTTGCCCTGCACACCTGTAATCCCAGAACTTGGGAGGGGAAGGCTGGAGGATTGGGAGTTCAAGGTTAGCCTGGGCTCCATTGCCAGTTTAAGGCCAGTGTGGGTAGCATAGACTGTCAAAAAAACAAAAAACAAAAACAAAAAAACCCACCCACAGCAGATTTTAACATGTAGCCGAAATTCAAACTAGCCTTGAAACCAATAGTGACAACAGGTGTTAAAAATCACAAGAAGAAATTAAAAAATTTACCCTTTTCCATTGCCTCTTCCCCTGTATATAATCTCCAAAGGTTGCCCCACTATTCCTAAATCTACCTAGTCACTATTACTGCTCACAAAATAGCAGATGCCTACCATGCACCAGCCAGTTCCCTCTGTCCTAAGGATTAAAAAAAAAACACACAAACAAAAACATCTACTTTTTTTTTCTTTTTTTAGAAAAAATACTTTATTGAGCACATTGCAAAAGCACAGCAAGCTGGGAGTAACCAGAGTTCCCACTTCTGCCTCCCAGGGCCCCAAATATCGACTTTTACAGTTATGTGACCTAGACAAGCCCAGTTAAGGCACCACTAAGTAGGAGGCGAGATTCTCAGGGAAAAGGCTGGAGTGAGGGAGAAGGGAGTCAGGACGCTGTATCATTTCTTCTCCCTCATTCCCACTCTTAGCGGTACTGGGTGAATGATCAGCACAGAGCCAGCCAAGATGCACCGGTATTTCTGCACATAGGGGGTGAGGGCAGCCTCGGGCCTGGCTCAGTGATGGCAGGTAAGAAGCAAGCTTTGGGGAGCTGGAGGAGACTAGGAAGGGGAACTGTAGATGGCAGTTCATAACTCACATCCACCTCTCTACCGTGTGCTCTTCACAGGGCATCCTGTAGCACTGGCCCCTGCCTGGGGGGCCCTGGTGATAAGCCTGGAACACAGATTCTATGGTCTGAGTGTGCCTGCTGGGGGCCTGGAAATGGCCCAGCTTCGCTACTTGTCCAGCCGCCATGCGTGAGTGGGGATAAAGAAGGTGTTTAGAATTATAGGACTGGAATGCTGCTGGTGTCTCCACAGCTGTGTCTCTCTGCTACTGTTCACTATCCTCTGAGTCTCCGGCTTCCCCTCTCCCCACTGTGTTTCACAGTCCCTTATTCTTTCGTCTGTCATCTCTAACTCTGCCTCTCTCTATTTCCACCTTTCTCTTGTCCTCCATTCTTGCCACTCTGTCCAAAGGCTAAGCTCTCACGTGGGCTACTATTCCAGACCACCAGAAGCTCTTAGCAACATTATAGCCACATCCTGTTTCTGTCCTTGACTTCCATGTAGAAAATGGAATCCTGTCTGAGTGTAAATTGGGTCATGACGCTCAAGTCCATTCCTTACATCTCCCCTGCTGCTCAGAAGTCTCTGTAGGAGCCACAGGTTCCCCAGTTAACTCTCACACTCACAGTAACTCGGCTACACTCCAATTCTTGCTACACACTGGCAGATAGATTCATGCCGGTCTCAGGCTTTGGAACCTTTTCCCTCTTCAACACGCAGCCTTTCCCCAGACATTTTTATGTCTCTCCTGTGCGGCTCACTTCTGTTACTAATCCCCACCAGTCCTTCCCCCAACCTCTCACCGGCTTCAGTGCCCTCAGCCAGGCTTATCTCTTCTTTCTGACTTTGTACCTCTCTTCTCCTACCGGTCTCCCTGACTCTCCCTGCCTGGTCTCCGTCTCTGTGTCTCTCCTTCTCAATCTTCTCTATAGCTCAATTGGCTTCGAATGGGCAATCACATGGCACTGACTGAGAACCACCTCAGAAAATTTGAGGAAAGAAAGGATACCCCACCATCTTTCTCCTTTCTCTTTGGGTTTCTCCCAGCCCCCAGTTCCTCAGCCCATTCAGAATCCTCCTTCTTCTGAGGCGCCCTCCTTGACTACCCCAGCTTCTCTTTATTTTTGATAAGTTTTTAATCTAACGTGCTAGGAAACTTCTCCGTTCTCACCTAAAATGGGTATTGAAAGAAGGTAGGTGGGCCTTCTCCCTTGGCTTAGGCGCGGAGAGTCATCGGGAAGAGACCGGAGCCCTGTTTAGGTTGTGGTCTGGGTCTGCGCAGTGGCCCCCAGGGGTGGAGGGTCCAACTTGCGCTCTTTTGCAGGCTGGCTGACGTGGCGTCCGCCCGCCAGGCGCTCTCCCGCCTCCTCAACGTGTCCTCCTCCAGCCCCTGGATCTGCTTCGGAGGCTCCTACGCTGGCTCGCTGGCGACTTGGACCCGGTTGAAGGTCCCGGGAATTCCTCGGGTGGGCGGGGGTGGAGAGGTCTTCCTCCTGGGTCCGAACCCGGGGTATTGGGGCGCACTCCCACGCCTCTCCCTACCCACGCGGGTCCCTGGGGCCGGGGAGGGACTCCGGGCACGGGCACCCCTCCTCGTCCCAGGCTGACGCCCCTTCTCTCGTAGTTCCCCCACCTAGTCTTCGCCGCCGTCGCCTCCTCCGCACCGCTGAGCGCGGTGCTGGACTTCTACGCCTACAACGAGGTAAGACGTCAGCGGCGGGGGGACGCGAGGCAACCCCAGAACCGCACTTCCCCGACATCCTTCCCTCCCGCCGCAGGTGGTGGCCAGAAGCTTGACGCAAGTGGCGATAGGCGGTTCGTTGGAGGTAGGCGATGGGGGGGAGGGGGGAGGCTCAAATGTGGAGGAGGGAGAGGGAGTGGGAAGAGCTCGGGAAAGCCCTGCCGGAATGGAGAGCAGCCTGAGCGAAGGCCTTAGCCCAGGGACGCGGGCAGGTTTTGGTACTGCTGGAACCGAAGACCAGACGCAGCATCCAGAGAGGAGGTGCCTGGTGGGGAAGGGGGTACTGAGCAGAGGGGAGGAGCCAGGAAAGGGCGGGGCCGAGGAGGGGCGTGGTGGGTTAGGGGAGGAGTTACCAGGGGGCGGGGCCTCTGGCGAGCCCTAGTCTAGTCTACCTGAGTCAAAGTGGGAACCTAAAGAAGATGCAAGAGAGAGGGAAAATTGAGAGAGGACACGGACCTGGGTTGGGAACCGCCGCAAAAGGATGCGGTTCCAAGGAAGGGAAAATCCAGGCCCCCCGTGAACGTCGCTTCTCGGTTCCTGAAGTGCCTGGCGGCGGCCTCCGCAGCCTTCGCGGAGGTGGAGCGGCTGCTGCGCGCAGGTCCCGCAGCTCGGGCCGTGCTGAAGGAGGAGCTGAGCGCCTGCGGGTCCCTGGACCTGACTGAAGACCAGGGGGAGTTGCTGGGCGCGTTGCAGGCGCTGGTGGGAGGCACCGTGCAGTACGACGGGCAGGCCGGAGCGCCGCTAAGCGTGCGCCAGCTCTGCGGACTCCTCCTCGGGGTCTCCGGCAACCGCAGTCACTCCACGCCCTACCTCGGCCTTCGCCGGGCGGTGCAGGTAAGCTACCCAGACGCGCGCCTGCAAGCCAAGGGTTAGAGGACCAAGGTTGCGCTTCCACCTCGGCTGAGCTCAGACAACCGAAACCCCCCTCTTATCCTTAGATTCCTCATCAGTAAAATAAGGTTTGTATACTTCACCTGGCTGATAATAACATTAGCTTATTAAGCAACCAAGCAGGTGCTATACACCCAGTATACAAATGTTAGAGACCATGATTATTATCCCTTTTATCTTGTTATTTGTTCTTGGCCACAGAAGGCAAACAGCAAGTGCACAATAGTATTTAAGACTGAAGCGGGGCGGGGGGCTCTTGAGATAAGAGTTCTAGGGATACCCCCACTCCTTGTCCTACATTTATATTTCCGCCATCACTTTCCCTGCTCTAATTCTGGACCAAATTCTTGAAGAATACCTCACAAAACGTATACATTTCTCCGGCGACAGGCACTATTATTACCCCACTTACAGAAGAGCAAATAGGTAGAATGATTAACTCTTACCCAGGGTCTTGTAGATGATAAGACCTTGGACATTTAGTTACAGGGACCTCCCTCCCACTGACTTCTGACACTCAAGAAAACTCAGGAACTCACCCTTCTCACTCTTGACGTGTAGCCCTACTATAGGCCTGTGGCGCCCTGGCTTGCTGGGAGAGGAGGAATGTGTCTACGTATGCATGCACGTATATATGCATGTGTGTATTGCCCCCTAGATAGTCTTGCGCAGCATGGGCCAGAGGTGTTTAAGCTTTTCCCGGGCAGAGACAGTGGCACAGCTGAGAACCACCGAACCTCAAGTGTCTGGCGTTGGGGACCGGCAGTGGTTGTACCAGACTTGCACTGAGTTCGGCTTCTGTGAGTGATCCCCCTAACTCTCAAACCAAAGGTGGTCTGAACTCAAGGTCACAACTTAACCGGACTCCTAGGTCCAGTGTAACCTCAGAGGTGTCTGTCTGGAGAAGGTAAACAGCCACCTGGTGTGACCTGCCTTCCAACACTCACACTCAGGTCTCAACCTAAGTGCCCCTTCCCCCTCCTTCCCTCCCTTTCCCCTTCCTCCCTCCCTCCCTCCCTCCCCCCTCCCTCCCTCCCTCCCCCCTCCCTCCCTCCCTGTACTTCCTGTGTCCTATCCCAGAATGTCTCCAGCCTTGTTCAGTCACTGGGCTAGAAACTTTATCTTGATGCTTCCTACGCACTGTGCAGATGGCCTGTCAAGCACCAAGTCTTGCCCGCTCTGCAACCTGTCATTGCCTTCTCTACTTCTTACTCTGTGGGCCTGCCAGAGGCCCTGCACACAGCTGCCTGGATCCCCGGCTGCCTGGATCCCGGCCTCCTCTGGTCTCTAGCTTGCACTTCACCTCTGCAGTCTGACTTCTACACCATAGCCAGAGAAATATTCTTACTTACGGGATTGCATTTCAGTGACCCAAGGTTGGAGTTGCCATACAAAATACAGGATGGCCAGTTACATCTAAACTGCAGCAAGCAGGCGAACAGACATTGCAGATGAAAACTCAGACATCACATGTACAAAAGCAGTGGGTGTTCTGTGTGTCTGAATACAGGTATCCTGTGTCATATGTCAAATCTGGTCATCCTACCCCAGAGTTCAGCCTCTGTTTTCTTTTGGGGGACAGAGTCTTACTATGTAGCCCAGGTTTACTTTAAACTCACAGTATTCCTCCTGCTTCAGCCTCTGAGTGCTGACTTGACAGGCATATGCCACCATACCCAGCCCAGAGTTGAGTTCTAAATCTTTTTGCACTCTGAAGACAAGCGAGTGTAGTAACATGAAGTAAACTGTTCAAATTCTGTTTCCTATCTGTGTGCTCTTGGACAGACTTGGGCAGGTGCCTGTGGCTAACCAGTTTCCACATCTATAAACTGAGAATAACAGCAGTACTTTCCTTCCTGCTGCTGTTACATAGCTTTGTGTATTTTAGGCTGCCCAATACACCAGCCCCCTAGAGCCTAGGAATTCAGCACTTCCTGTTCAGTGTGCTAGGGTGATCCATCCCCCTTCTGTACAGTTTGCTCATCTTCCAGTCTCACACAAGACACCGTACTTCCACAGTATCTTCCATCACTTCTCTAGACTAAATCCTGTGGCCCATTTCTGCTGCTCTGTGTTCTTTAGTGCGTTCTAACCTGCCTGTCCCCCATCTCCCCTTCTAAGTGCTATAACAGCAGAGCATGGAATTATTTTGGCTGCCACTTTCTGCTCAATATTGCCCAACATATGTCTGTGGTCAGCAAATGGTGAAGGAAGGAAGGAAGGAAGGAAGGAAGGAACGAAAGAATTCATGTGAGGCCAAGGAAGTCAGGTTCACCCGGGACAGTGTGAGCTGTGAATTTTAGGCAGGGGAGACAGGATCCAGTTTGAGAACCAGTCATTCCGATTCCCCCTTCCCTCTGAACCTTCACACTTTCTCTTTCCCCTGTTGGTTACTCCTTCTTGTTGGGCTCATCCGTCCACATTCCCTGAGTCCTTGTTCTTGCAGGGTGCTCTCCCTGAGCCCATTGTGCTCTCTCTTGGAGCCCCACCTCCTAGAGATACCTCTGTCATAGCCCTGGTCACTCAGGGATGTCATTGATCCGGGATGTGTGGGCCTGTTTTGGCAGTACTGTGAGCTCATGGAGGTCACTACTGGGGAGTGTTCTATACATTATTATTGAAGGAGAGCAGGGGTCTGGCCATATGTATTCTTCATACTTAAAGGTACTCTCTTTCCACAGATGTCACCTGTGAGGGTCCTCGGTGTCCCTTTTCCCAGCTGCCAGCACTGCCCTTCCAGCTAGATCTATGTGAACAAGTGTTTGGTCTCCCAGCTGCATCTGTTGCCCAGGCTGTGGCCCAGACAAACTCCTATTATGGTGCCCAGACTCCCAGAGCCACCCAAGTGCTGTATGTGAACGGTGAGTGTGCCACCAGAAGCTGGCTCTACAACATCATTGTAGCCCCAGCTCAACCCCATCGTCTCCTTTCTTTCCAGGGGACACGGATCCCTGGCATGTGCTGAGTGTAACACAGGACTTGGGACCCTCTGAGCCAGCCCTTCTAATTCCTAGTGCCTCCCACTGCTTTGATATGGCACCTATGAGGCCTTCAGACTCTCCCAGCCTCCGCCTGGGGCGCCAGGTAAGAGAAAAGGCTCTGAGTATTTTATGTTCTCATTTACATACTTATTTGCGTGAACCTTCTTTATCCAGTGCTGAGTTCTAACTTCCAGGATGTTCTGCACTTTTTCACAGAGAATCTTCCAGCAGTTACAGGTCTGGCTTAAAGATATAAAGAAGAGCCAGAATTGATGTGGATCTAAACCCAGCCCTTCACCAGTCCCATCATGGCAACTACATCCTGGCGTTTTTCTTCACTGTACGAAGGAAAGCGACTGGTTTGGAAGGAGGAAGTCCCTAGACTTGGGATTCAGGGCCTGTTCTGTGTGCTTGTTCCCCAGTCGTTCTCACAGACAATGACAAGTTGTGCTTTGTCACAGATCAGTGTAAATGTAGGCCAGTGCTTACTGTCCCTGTAGACATTGATATTCTGTATGGTAAATGTCAGGGAAATATGGCTCTCCATGCTGGAGCCTTCTTCTCCAAGGTCAAATCTAGCTTGAATTCTGCCCTCTTGCTTCTAGACTGGGTACCTACTGCCCATGACTCTCCACTTCCTTAACCCTGTCTCTCCTGAGTCTTAGTCTGCAGTGGTTAATCATTGTCAACTTAACTGAATTCAAAATCACCGTGGAAACAACTCTGGACTGTCTTTGAGGACCTTTCCAGCGAAGTTATACTGAAAAGAAAATCCACACCTGAAGTGGTGGTAACATCCCACCCCTGAGGTCCCAAATGAATAAAAAGGGAAGCTGAGCCCCAGCATTCATCTCTCTCTCTGCTTTCTGACTGTGGGCATGATGTGACCAGTTGTCTCATGCCCCTGCCACTATACCTTTGCCACTGTGATGGACTGTATCCCCGTGAGCCAAAGCAAATCCCTCCTTCCTTATACGTTTCTTGTTAGTTATTTGGTCACAGCGGCAGGAAGGGGGCTAATACAGTCCGTTTCTGTGTGTTTCTATCTGGAGGAAATGGCTGCACAGCTCTTCTCTTTCTCTGTCTCTCTTTTGGTCTTCCTTTTAGTACCTTTCCTCCCTCCCTCCCCACAATCAAATGTCACTCTCCAGTGCTTCGAGCTTCCTGCCGGAAATGTCTGAGTTCTGGCTCATCCTCCCTGGTTTGGGGGTTAGTCCCAAAGCTAACCTCTTAGGCTGTGCCACAGCTCACTCCACTAAGCAGCGGCCACCAAGTAGGAAGGAGCAAGTCCAGGAGAGTGACAACCGCTAAGGAGCAGGTCGAGAAAGGAGGGAGGGCTAGACAGAAAAGTGTAACCAGAGGACAAGTGCTGTCACTTAGGGCTAACCTTAGTTCTGCTCACAGGAGCTACCCTGGATCCTGCATTGGCCCCTAACCACAGTTCCTCACCAGATCCAACCACCACACGTCCATTTAGATACTTAGCGTGTGTGCTGGCCTTGCACATGGTGGTCTGCTCAGGGAATCATGCCCTTCCTACAGAGTCCGAATGCTTGGGTTGTCCCTCCTGCTCTGCTAGATGAGCCCTGGGATATCTTCTGCAGTCTTCCTTTCAGTTTGACACCTGGATGGCTTTGGTGTTGGTCTGTCCTCTCCCCTCAAGCGTTCGCAGAGATTCTGGAGAGAACTCACCCTGGAGGGTGTTAAAGGAGCAGTCTCTTAGCAGTGATGTCATGGATAGCATCAAAAGCTTAAAGAAAAAAAAAAAACAAAAACAAAACTCAAGCATGTCCTCTCCTCCTTTCCCGACTTGCTCCATAGAGGCTGTCGCTCTCCCAGATTTGCAAAGATAAAAATTAAATGAAACCACATCAACTAAAAAAAGTCTGCATAGTGAAGGGAACAGCAAAATGAGAAGGCTGCCCAGGGCTTGGGAGAAAGCATACACTAGTCCTGAGTCAAATAGGGGGCTAATATAAAAACATCAGGACTCCCACAGCTCAATAACAAAAATAACCGTTTAAGAAAGGCCAAGCTGGGTGTGTGTGGTGATGCACGTCTGTAATTCCAGCACTCAGGAAGCTGAGGCAGAAGAACGGCGAGTTGACCACCAGCCTGGGCTGTACAGTGGTGGTCTCCATTGATTGCCAGCTGGTTTGGGAGGAGGAAGTTGTTATTATTCTCAAAATTCCTTAATTTTTCTCCTTGTTATTCTAAAAAAAAAAAAATAATTTGCAATCATAAACAGAAACCCGACTAAACAGGTACATGAGGCCATTCTCACTGTCATTAGTCAGAAAAGGCAAAGCAAAACTAGAGGGGGCAGCACTCCCAGCCGTTGGGGGGCCATTGTGACCAAAGGTACAAGAGCAAGCAAGCGTTGGTGAGGCTGTGGAGAAGAGGGAGCCTTACTCCCTGCTGTGGGGATTGTGAAGTACTACAGATGTAACAGGAAACACTGCGGACAAGCCCCCCAAATCACACGATCGGCAACCCCTTTATTGTGTATATTTACAAAGGAGATGAAATTCAAAATTTAAAAGCTGGCAGAAGAAGCGATCCCAACAGGCATCCTTCCTCCCTCCTCGGCTGTGGGACTTAGCTCCTCCCAGTGTCTGGGACAAGAACCTCCCACCCCACCCACACCCACAAGGTCTTCTAGCTCATGGGACAGCGATGGGAGAGGCTGTACTCCTCAGAAGGCCACCAACTATTGACCTCTTTTATCTCAGTGGTGGGGAGGGTAAAACAGGGAGAGTTTTATCGCTTAGACTTTATGGATTTTCCTAGAGAAATTTGGAAGGATGCCATTTGTTAATGGTGTCCTGGTGTGTACTTTCTGTAGACTAGGGTAACTGGGGTAACTCAGCCAGAATACAATGGCAATGCTGTGGATCCTAACAGATAACTATATTGGTGAATGTTGCCAATTTGCCTAGCCAAAGACAAAATGTAGATGCCCAAGTCATAGCTTAATCATCAAAAAGCTTCTAATGAAGAGCTGGCGTAAGGCTGGGGATGGAGCCCCTTGCCACAATGCCAGCTTAGTCTTTGAGAGATCCTGGGTCCTATCACCAGCACCACAAAAAAAGAACATGGTAGAGTTGAGGAGAAGGGTGTGTGGTATGGACTGCATGGGGACCATTGATGCTTGACCATGTTCCAGCATTTTGAAATCTCAGACTGCAATTCTCCAGCACCCTTTTAGTTTCATTTCTTAGTGATTCTTACTATGTATTATGGGACTTCCTTATGCCTTTTCCTTTGGGGAATTTTGTGCAGGCTTTAAAGGATGAAAATGTATAAAACGGCAGCCTCTTTAAACAAAATAATTCTTTGGGAAAATCCGTATAGCGCGATGACTCTACACACAAGAATCCCATTGTGCTGTCCTACTTAGACCAAGAATGGGAAAATTAGAGATTTACTAACTGGCACACTTGACCCCAAGGATGAAAAGTGTACAATCCAGATCCAGAGCCTGAGGCCATTAGGGACAAGAGTTCAGTTAATAAGTATAGAGTAATCAGAATGGTACCGTATAATGGGAAAGAGTAAGACACCAGGACATTCTCTTTGGGGAGTGTATGAGGGGAACAGGCCCATAGAGAAGACACAAAGGAACACAATTAGGGAACAGCTCAGTGGTATGCTGTATCATGCCCCTTGAGGAATGAAAATTGCTCTTAGATTGTAGTGGAGAGTCTGGACCCCAGACGTCCTTTTCCCAAGGTCAGGCATTTGGATAAGGGCCTCCATTCCCTCAGGGCCTTGTGGAAAGTTCCTGCTTGCTAAAAGTAGCCATTCTCCTTATCTCTGGCAGGAGGAACTGTGGTCCTTCCATTGATATAAGAGGGCTCCTGGTAGTTACTGAACCTTTGAGAACAATAGGCACTCAAAATCCTCCTGAGTCCACACAGACTCCCATGTTTGGCTGTTAAAAATTTTAATATAATGTGTTTTCTTTTCTCATAAAAAGTTATTTGGGGTGGGCAAGGTGGCTCAGAGGTTAAGGGCATTTTCTGCCAGGCCTGAAAACCTGAGTTTGATCCCTAGGACACATGTGGTAGAAAGAGAGCCCACCCCTAGCTTTCCTCTGACCCTGATTTGTGCGCCATAGCATGTACACACACATAGGCAAACACAGACACATACAATAAACAGATGCATGTACTTCCTGACAAGACAATGCCCATGCACCCATGAGCTTACTGCAGGTATGGTTATCCATCCACACAAAGTCACCTCAGTGAGATGGTCAGTCAGCATCCCAATAGGCAGCGATAACTGGATTATGTTACTAACACACACACACACACACACACACACACACACACACACACACAAGAACAGGAGGGAATTTGAAAGGGGAGATTACATGTTCCAGGTGCTTGGGAAGAGTGCGAGAGGGAAGTTAAGATAGTTAAGATTTGTTGTTTACATGTATGAAATTGTTAACAACAAATAAAACTATTTTATTAAAATAATTGAATTTAGGATTCTTTCTTGCTATTTAGGAAGGTTTTGATTGTGAGATTCCCCCATTTCTAATTCACTTGTACATAATATGGGATCCTTATATTTTCAGTGGTGACCCCAGACTTAGTTATATCTACAATACAGCCCACTAATCTGTTTCAATCCTTCCCCTTCTTTCCAGTTACATGTCTTTATTTTTTATCAGAATAAAAATGTTTTGTTATTCTTTTAGCTTTGTCTTTATGTTTTAGTCTCAGATATACAATTAATTTAAAACATTAAATGCCCACTAAAGGGCTTTTGATGAAGGCTCATCTCTGGGTTGGATGGAGCCCATATTATTGGAAGTGCTCTATTTGCATTAAATATACAGGACTGGCGGAGATAACACAAAAAGACCAGAAGGAGCACCGTTGGCCTTTTGAATTAGACACAAATGCACTGTTCATGTCTCTATTAATCACTAAGATCCATACCTGACTCCTGTTAGGAAGAAAAAACAGTGTTTGCTGTGAGTGGGTGGCACCAGTTTCCCCACAGTGAATAAGATCAGACAGCCTCCAGCTCCTCAGAGAAATCCACGGAACAAAGGCTCACGAAGAAATGTGTTTTCTTGACCTTGCAGGTCTGTACAACTTGAGAAGGGAGGTTGGTTTCAGGACTGATTTGGAAAGATTTAAGATCAATGAGCCTTCCTAATCCCCTTCCCCGGGTTTTTCATTAGGTGGGGAATGCTCCCTCCACTTGGGGATCTCTGCCTTGCAGAGCTGTCCCTCACCAGCTCTTGTTCCAGAAGGAGGAACATTACCTGAGAGAACAGTTGAACTCTGGGGACTCTGAAACACAGTTGGGTTGAGGGGGCAAAGAAAAATAGGAAAAACAAATCTGGAATTCTGTGGCACTATATCCTAACAATCACAAGAGGTGTTCACATTGCACAGGACTATTGACCCACAGAGGGAGCCCATCCTGAACTTGGCACTGTTAGCACCAATTGAGCTAACAGACCAGTGAGTGGTCTTTCATCTCTCCCTGTGGTGTACATGGAGACAAAACTCCCATTCATATAAAAATGCTACATTTAGCAACATAATGACAGGGAAGGAAGAGAGTGGGGGACCTTCCCCCACTTTTTCCTGGGTACTCTTGAGGAGAGAAGGATAAGAAAATATCAGGTAGAAAAAGAGACCAAGTTGACGAGAGGAAAGACAGAAACAGAAGATAGCTTCCGGAGGACCGGGACCAAAACCCACCCGCCCAGAACTTTATTCAAAAGGGCTTTTTATAGCAATGCCAAGCGGTGAGGGTCTGCCAGATGCAGACCCTTCCAAACACCTGGCAACCACGCCCACCGTGGTCAAATCATC